GCCTCCTGATTTTCCTAAAGTGACATCATTAATGGTGACACATTGGTGTCTCTGTCTGCACATCCATTAGCCTCTCATCAGGCCATGAGGCAATTTCCTTTGTCTTTCATTATTCGCTTTACATGCCTGCCTTGCTCCATCACTCCTGGAGATCATTTACTACTTCTGGAATTAATAAGAGCTGGAAGTTTGAAGGCTTCTTGTAAATAGCAGTGCCATAGTGGAAGCAGGCAAGGATTCTGGTTTCAATCATTTGTACTTTCTTGGGACAAAACCAGATTTCCTACCTTGTGGGATAGGAAAATCCCCATATCCTACCACATGGGGATGATTTCACTCACTTATGGCAGAGAAAAGTCCAAGGATTTTTGTCCATTTGGCATTGTCTTAATACTCTGCACACAGGAGAGCAGTTTTGATGTTCTCCTTCTCCTGGTGACGTTTGAAGATCATCCATTACTAGACTGAGCTCCTTACTGTTTGAAATTTGTCTCTGCATTTCCTACAGAAGTGGCTTTCAATCCTAATGGCACATTGTAATCATCTGGAAAGGTTTTTTAAAAAAGCCCTACTCCTAGAGATTCTGATTCAATTGGTCTGGTCTGGAGTCCAGCTTGTGATTTCAGAACATGCCCCAGGTGAGAGCTGAGTATATCGTGCAGCAAGGTTGCCTATGGTGTCTAGGACAGTTCTCTGTGCAGGGCAGGCAGTCTCCAGGAAATGACAGGTAAGCTGAACTGCATTGATAGACACATGGGTTACACAGTGCCAGATGATTTTGGGTGAAGACATATCTGGACATACTCTCACTGCAAGCATCTTGTGGTGCCTTTAGCAGCTCATCATTTTTGGGTAAACCATAGGAGTCTAAGGGTTTCACCTTCGCTCAACTGGTAACTCAGTTTGTTTTTGTTTTTGGCTGCCTTTGGGTGTTGTGCCTTTGTTCATCAGTAAAATGGGGGTAATCAAAGTCTGAGGTTGTATTTCTGTTTGAAGCAAAAACTAGTAAATATTTGCCACAATGAGCTTTGTGTAAAATCATCAAATTACTGCTATGCAAATGCAGATGGAGTTTTGGAAGCAGAAGCAAGAGGAATGTGGCTAGAGTCTTGTCTAACAGTAGCTGATGGATAGGGCTCAGTGGTGACAGGGGTGGAACATGATCCTCCTATCAAATCTTGTCGTCACGACATTTGTGCCACTGAGGGAATGCCACAGCCTCCACTCACTGAGCGTTAAAACTATCACATCTTCTTTGTATTAGCTGAAGGGGCCCTGGCTTCTAGACTTTTTCCATGAACTGGATGTGCTGTTGGCCACAACACCAGGGTGGGGGGATTGTGGTTCCCTGCTCTGACCACCAGCGCCGTGGGAGCCCTGTGCACTCTGCTGGCATTACCTGCCCACATCTGCAAAAGCTGCTCACACTGCAAGCCCCAGCTCTCAGCCTTGGGCCTGCAACCAGGCATGAAGTGGTTACTTGAGATCCTGGTTTCCTGGGATGACCCCTTTTCTTCCTCTAATTCTTCATCTCTGGTTAGAACTGGAGCTGTACGCTGTGCCTGTGCACATGGACTCCCTACTCCTCTGCCCTTCCTGTATCAGCCTGTGCATTCCAACCTCTCCTGTGTTCCCTGACCACCTCCACCCTGAAGGCCTATCCAGCAGACCCTATGAGACCAGGATAGGCAGCTTCAAAAGGTAGCCATTGAGAATCTGCCTTAGTCTAGCAGAGGTTTAATGCCCCTTTCTCACATCTGACCTAAAGTCTTAATTGATATTTGGCACTGTTCCATAAATATGTCTCCCTAGAAATGGAAAATAGCTATTTCTCTATTTTATAATAATTTTGCCATTAATGAAGCAATGGGCCCTCTCATCTTGGAATAAATCAACCCAGTGTTTTCAGTTTCTGTTAACAGTCTATGGGCTATCTCCCCTCATCGCCTCTCAGCCTAGAGTGTGAAGCCACACACAGTACCTTCAGAAAACAGCAACCAAAGACAATTTATTTTGTGGGTAGGAAAATGAGGCACAGAGAGTTTCAAAGACTTGTAACCATAACAAGTGAATGGGACTTGAAATGAAATTCTCACCTTCATAGAATGGGGGTAGGCAGAGGTGGTGGACATGAACAACGATGCAATAGAATGTACCCCTAAGAAACTTGGGCTACAGAGATGAACAGATCTTCATGTTGTTCCAGTTTTCTTATTTATAAAATAAGAGAACAAGAATTCTTAGCCAATCAAGATGCTGTGCTGATTAAAAGAAATGTATGTGGAAAGGACTGGCATAGCGTTTGGTATCTAAGAGGCTCTCATTAAAAGCATACACACATACATGAACACATGTGTGCATGTAAGCATGAAGTTAGTAGCTTTGAGGGGTTTCTTTCCAAGGTGCAGCCATAACCCATAGGCTCCCTGACATAGCTCCTGGTAGAATCTGCCTCTGTAGGATCCTTAAGTAGTCATTTATCTCAATGTTGGCCTTCATGCAGGGATGCATGTTCTGGAGAATGACCCACAGGAACCCCAAGAGGGGCTCTCAGGCTAGCAACGGATGCACTTCTGTCCTGCTGCACAACCAGAGGCAGGAGATAATCTAGATGGCAGCTCTACTCTTTCCATACCTGTGATTCCTGAAATCTGTTGAAGTGTAGGGGGTTCAACAGTATCTGCTTCATTTTAATAAAATGAGGCAATGTTTATAAGTGAGACACAGCCCAGTGACTGGCACGTACTAAGTACCAACACATACTAGCAGTTCTTAGTAGTGGTAGTATTTTTAAATCCAAAGCTAGATTGGGTCAGAGTGCTTCCAGTTGTCCTTTCTCCAGCCTGGGGGGCAAATGAATAGGCTCAAGATTAGGGCCCATCTAAAGAAAGTCTACGCATTTGTCTCTGCATTTCCTACAGAAGTGGCTTTCAATCCTAATGGCACGTACTAAGTACCAACACTTGGAGGTCTTGGAGGTCTGCTTTCAAATCTGGGCTCGTCCCAGCAGGGGCATCTGTGCCCTATTTATTTCTTTACTAATTAGTTCATTCAACACACATTTACTGAGCACTGATTGTATGTGTGCTCCTGTGCTCGGCACACAAACCTCTGATCTCTGGTATTCATACAGGGCTGTGCCCTTGGCTAACACACAAAGTATTATATCAGGAAACCCCACTTCTCAACACAGCCTCTCCATATGCCTGCTGGAAAGCTGGAGAGTTAGGGGGAGCTCTGACGATGGCACCTTGCATGCCAGAGTGTGGAATTCGGAGTCAGGCAAGTGTGTATTGTTTTTACAGATAAGGAAACAGAGGTCGGAGAGGGGAGTACTTAGTCAAGTTCAGAGAGTAATTTAGTGCTGTCTGAGGCTAGAACCTTGTTCCCTGATTAGTTTAGGAAACAAGGGCCCTTTCTATCAGACCAGTTGCCTCTGCACTAGAGTGGGATAACCTGTCTTTACATTGTCATCTACAGATAGGCGTTGTTTTCCTTTCTGAACAGCAGCATTTCAAGGTAAAAATGAAGTAGCTCTTGAGTAAGTCTAAAACAGTGGCTCTCATCTCTGGCTGTATGAGATCATCTTGAGAGAATTTGAAAAAAACTGATGTGGGAGCTCCACCCCAGACAATTAAAGAAATATTTGTGAGGGTGGAGCTGGGGCCTCCTATTGGTTTTTAAAGCTCCCCAGGTGTTTCTAATATACACCCAGGGCTCCATAGTCTAATATACAGTCAGTCTAATATACAGTATAATATACAGTCAGTGGTCTAGTGGGCAGTGCTTCCAAATTCTAATGCACATTTGAATCATCTAGGGATCTTGTTAGTCTGCAGATGCTAATCCAGTGGTTCAAGTGCAGCCCAAGGGTCTTCATTTCCATCAGGCTTCCATGTGGTGTTAGTACTGCCAGTCTGTGGACCACACTTGGAGTAGCAGCTCCAGAAAGTACTCTGAGGTTCTAGTTATCCACTTGGTCACTGGCTACTCTAGCCAGAGGCCTGGGAGTTATCTCTCTCCTTCATCCTCTCCTCATCTTCTCCCTTTCAAGCCCTTGGGCTTCAGATCTTATCAGTTCCATCCCACTGCTTCTAGCAGCTCCTCTCCTTTCCTAAGGGACTGGCACAACATTCACCCCCGCCTCCCGTTCCCCACCATCACTCACTGCCCTGGCCGTGTTCTTTGGTAGACCGCCTCCTGAGGGCTTTCTTATTCCGTCTTCCCTCTGTCCATGCTTTTATTCTGATTCTGTAGAAGACTTTCACTCCGTGACCCATCTCTTAAGAGACCACGGCATCCTGGGACCTGCTCTCTCCCTGCAGTCACCCCCTATGACGATTGTCTAGGAACAGGGTGTCCCTCTGGTTGTTTCTGCGTTTCCATCGCGCAGTTCAGCGCCTATCACTCTCAATAAATACTTGTTGATTTTAACAAACAAGACCCTAACCCTGAAAGAGAAAGGCCAAACACAGGCCTCAGCTGCATTTCTTCCGATAAAAATGAACATTCCTTCGAGATTATGCATCAGGCTTTAACTTCCCACTCAGGAAAAAAAAAAAAAAAAAAAAAGTTGATCAAATTTAACAAAGTAAGTGGTTATTTCCTGTCTGAGTTCAGTGCCTGAATACAGGCTCAAAGCAGGCGACGGGACAGGAATGAGAGAGGATGGATGCTGGCAGGGGCTTGGAGGTCTGCTTTCAAATCTGGGCTCGTCCCAGCAGGAGGAAAGGCTGGAGGACCGGGATAGGGTGGGGACTGCCGATGGGGAACCTCCCCAGCCCTACAGACAGTCCGCAGCGCGGGGAGGCAGGCGGGAGTTGGGAGCGTGAACTAACTTGGCGCGGAGGGAGGTGCCGCACGCTGCAGCCTTTCAGGTTTCGCGTCTTGCGGGCGCCCACATGGGCCGCTGGCTTGCAGAAGGGGGCGGGGGAGAGGGAGGGCAGGTCCGGAGCCAAGCGGGTGGAGGAGGGGGGAGATCGAAGGAAATGAGACAACCTTTTCCTCCCACTGACTCGGGCTCCTCCAGCTTCTGCGGGGCTTGGCGCCGCCGCCCGTGAGCACCCAGGCCGGGACCCCACGTCCCCAGGCCAGCCCTGACCCCGGCGGCCCCTCCGGCAGGATTCCTTTCCGAGGTGCTAGTGCCGGCCCAAGCGCCGGGCAGCGCTTTGTCGCGTCCGCCCCTCGGTGATCAGCTCCGGGTCCCCCTGCTCGGCCCCGCGCGCCCCGAGCGCAGTCCCCGGAAGTGCGCGCCGGGGCCCCAGCGAAGGTAAGCGGCGCCCGAGAGCGCACCCTGGGCTCTGGGGCGCCGGCATCCCCAGCGAGCTCCGGCTTCTCCGGAGCGCCCTCTTTTCGGAAACACCCAGAGCACTTCTGACCTGAAGCCGCTGCTTTGTTCCCAAGCCCCTGCCCAGGTGTTGCAGGCTGGGTTCCACAAGGAACTCTGCTTCCCAGCGCTTTCCTTTTTGCCTCGTCTTCCTCCCACTTTCCTGTTTCTTCTCTCGCCCCACTGCTTCTTTCTGGATAGAACAACTCTCAGCTCCCTGCCTCTGCTGCCCAGCTTCGGAGAGCAGGTCGTTCCCAAATCTGGCGCTTCTCTCCTGCGCCTGTGGGAGCTGGGCTGAGCCTGACTGGCTTCGATCCCAAACCTGCAGGGGGCGGACCTGCAGAAAGTGCTGCACCGTGGACTATTTACCTGGTCTGTTTCGGGGGCAGCCAACTCGCCGCGCGCATTTGGCGACCCCCAGGACCCCGAAAGCCGAGTGAATTAAGGAGTGAAAGGCTGTTGGCGCCCCCTAAAGTCCCAGTGGGACGCTCTGCTGGTGGAGGGGGGCGCGCAGACAGTCCACGCCGCTCTATCTGGGGGGTCTGCGTGAGGGTCCCCACTCCTACTATTGAGGAGTAAGGGGAGGTGTTGGCACGCAATACAGAGCGCGTTGGGGCACGGAGGAAATAAGGATGTCCTGGAAGGAGAGGAGTGCCAACCACATCGTGCTGGCTTGCCATGTTGCTTTTATTAACTGCCTGAGTTCTCATAACAAGCCTATGCATAGGGACTCTTACCCCTATTTTACAAACAGGCAAAATAAGATGGGGCCACACAGCTAGCCAGGAAAGGGCCCAGCCAGGATTTGGGTCCTAGCTGGTCTATACCACACACACACTTCAAGTCCAGCCCTACAGAAGATTCCTTTCTTCAGTCTGAGCAAGAACGGTCCCCCCAACCCCCCACCTCCTTGCTCATAGTACAAGGGACCAGATTTTTTTTCCGTTTTGACCTAATACAACTTGATTCTATTCAAACCCAAACTACTTATTTAGTATCTACTGTCCTCTGAGTTCAGCGGCAAGCACTGAGGTTTCACCTTTGAACCTTATTAATTCATCCCCTTCTTGGCATCCGGTCTGTCACAAAATGTGTAATACTGTTCAGAAGGCTGGCTTGAATCTCCTTTCCATAAAGGCAGTCAAGCGCAGTAGCTCAGAGCCCAGGCCCTGGAGTGAGACCACCAGCTTGAATCCTGGCTGGGGCCTTTCTGTACCTTTCTGTAGCTGGATTTCCTCATCTGTAAAGCAGGATGCTAGGGCTTATTAAAGTAATGGTTTTCAACTGGAATTTTGATTTTACTTCCCAAGTGACATCTAGCAATGTCTGGAGACATATTTGGCTGTCATCATGTAAGTAGAAGAGGATCTCATTCATCTGGTGGGTAGAGGCCAGGGATGCTGCCAAATATCCTGTATTGCACAAGACATCTTCCCTCTCCCCCACTCTGCTTCCAGGGTTTAAGAATCATCTAGCCTAAAATGTTAACAGTGCTGAGGTTGAGAAGCCCAGGTTTAATGTGTCACTTGATGAAGAGTGCCATTATTTCCAGCTCTCATCCTTTTATCTGCTCTAGTTTGGCTGATTATACCAGTCTTTGTCCCTGTCTTTCCCTCCCTTCCAGTGCCAGAATTCTGTTGCCAAATCCACAGCAGGTCATGCTGCTATCTTGCCTTAATACCCTTGTTGGTTCCCCATTGCTAACAGAAGGGATGGGAATTGGGAATCTGCAGGTGTTTTACAAGCACTGAAGGTAATTCCTCTGCATCTTAAAGTTTGACAATCACTGTCTTTACAGAATAAAATGTAAACCCCGACCTTGTACATATGGCTCTTCACAATTGGCCTCACCTTATGCCACTTCCTCTATGTTTCTGACATTCCCTCAACCCACTATTCTTTTGGTATTCTAGGTCCTGACTTTTTGGAATGCCCTTCTTCCTCCTTGGCTGGCAATCAGTCTTTGAGACTAGAAGTCAAGTTTCCTTTTGGGTGAAGCATCATTCTTCAGTTCCTACAGACAATTTTGTTGCTCTCTGCCCTACCCCAGGTTGCGGGGAAGCCTCAGCCTCAGCCTCCCCTCTCCCCTCCCCTGTCCTGCCTTTTTTTTTTTTTTTTTAAATATATCTCTCTTGTAGTATTTTGTTTATCTCTCCCCTAGTCTTACATACTTAGAATCTAACTCAGTACCGTTCATGCTCATGATGATGGCTAAGCTTTCAGGCTTTGGAGTCAGGCTTCTTGAGTTCAAATCTCAGTTCTGCCACTTATTAACTCTGTTAAGAGTTAATTACTTGACCTTGGTCAAGTTGACTCAGTCTCGCAAAGCCTTCTTGGTAAGAAGAAATAGCATACCTTCTCTGCAGACTAGTATGACTAACTAATGGAATAATAATAATTCATCTTAATACTGAGTGCCTACCTAATTGCAGGACATGGTTCAAGTTTAGCATTTTATACGTTTTTACTCATTTAAACCCTGTAATGTCCTTTACAGTTACTACTGGTATTGCCCTGTTTTCCAGACAAAGAAACAGAGGCACAGAGAGGCTAAGCAGTTTGCCCAGAGTGATGGAGCTAATGAGTGGTAGGGCCAAGATTCACACAGACATCTGGATTTCAAAACACATACTCTTCACACTATGCAGGTAAAGGGCTTAGCCCAGTGCTTGGCATATAGTAAGTGCTCAGTTAATGTGAGATAAGGTTTGTTAAGTGCATTAATGAGAGCCTAAGTCCACTGGGTTTTCCACCTGCATCATGCTTGTGATTTAAGACTATGCCATTCTTCTTACAACTCTTGTTCCTTTCCTTGCCTCCTTGCTTTGCCCCAAGCCACAGAGGGGCAGGACATTGGGGTTACTTCCCAGCACCACTGATCTTTATGCTAAATTGAGCCTAAGTGTACATAGTCAGGGCTAGAAGAGCATTAACTTTTTTTGGGATGGGGGGATGGAGTCAACACACACCTGCCTGGAGGACAGAGGTGCACACTTGGGGTCAAAAACTCCGTGACCCCAGCTTTGTCCTTACCAAGCATGTGCCCTTTGCAGTGTGCACCTAGCATGTAAATATTGATGAAACCAATTGATGAATGAGGGATGGATGAATAAATGCCACCAGCTCAATCTCCCACATTATACTTGATCAGATGCAAAGTACACCTTCTCTCCACGTATTGTAAGGCTCATTTATCTATTGAAGGTAAAACTGGCTAAGGGAATTTAATAACCCATATTATTAAATATTAAATTCTCTGTTGGAGAAGCAGATTTGGAGAAGCAGAAAACATTCACTGACCCTCTGGGTAAGTTGTGTTTTACGCTGGATACTTGGTTACAACTGGTCACTAAACTAACTTGGAATCTTTTATTGCTTCTAATGCAGCCTTGGCTTTTAAAGCCGAGCCCACTCCTTGCTAGTCCCTGGGCCACTTGCTCTGTGGGCTAGACTGCCTTACACAAAGACCTGCACATTTGTGTACTCTGGCTTCTTCCACAGCTGTCCTGCACGGCTGTAATCCCCCTGAGTTTGCTTGTTTTGGCAGGTCGTCTCCAAAACTTCAGCGGGATGAGGTCACCTGGCGCGTGTAAAGCCTTGTGGGTTTTTTAGGAGCCAGGGAAACACTCTAGTAAGTGCTGCTTTTGAGGGTTGAGTAGGGTGAGAACTTTCCTGTCCATTGACATCCAAGACTCTTCAGATCCCCACGGCGGGGTCCTCAAACCCCTTGGCTGGTCCCTGGCCTGTTAGGAACAGGCCATCGCCTGAGCTCCGCCTCCTGTCAGATCAGCAGCTGCATTAGATTCTCTAGGAGCGTGAACTCTATTGCAAACTGCATGTGTGAAGGATCTAGGTTGTGCACTCCTTATGAGAATCTAATGTTTGATGATCTGAGGTGGAACAGTTTCATCCTGAAACCATCTCCCCCTATCCGTGGAAAAATTGTCTTCTAGGAAACTGGTCCCTGGAACCAAAAAGGTTGGGAACCACTGCCCTATAGCACTGCCTTCCCCTTCCCACACCAGACTCATACTGTCTCCTGGCATCATCCCCTCTCCTAGGTCACTAGCTGACTGACCTGAGAAACAAATTCCTTTAGGATATGAATGACTTGAGTAAAAGTGCGACCCAAGATGTTTGCGCATCCCTTGTATTTATACTGAGGCTTTTATAGCTTGGCACAGAAGATAAACTAGCCCAGGGTAGAAATGTCAGGCTTGGTGCCAGGTCTTGAGGCCTCTGATGTCACATCTTGTTGGCTGCCACTTTGGGTAGCACCTCTTAACTGACCTGTGGCAGACTTTCTGATGAAGCTGGCCCCTGCTTTGTGTGTCTAGTTCTAGGGAGATACACTTTGCCCTGTTTACATCTTGCGCTGTATTCTCTGTGAAATGCACTGTGTTGTTTGACTCTGCGTGAAACCCTGTTTAGTGCTGTAAAGGGCATTTGGTGTCAGACTAGAGTGGTGGCAGAATCTTGAGGTATTAGTGTGGACTTTGAATACACGTGCAATAAGTAGCTCTGTGCAGGTGCTGGAGACACAAAGATGAAAAAGACCTGGTTTGTACCATCAAGATTGCAGTCCATGACATATGCTGGCCATGTGAATAGATCATCAGAGTCTGTTATATAGAATAAGATATCTGAGCAGAGAATTGGGAGCTCAAAGGAACCAGCGCCATCTCTGCTAGAAGAGTCAGGAAAGGCATCAGGAAGAAGATGTGTGAGCTCGGCCTTAACATGTAAGCGGGTGCTTGGTGGGTTTGAAGGGACTGGTGATTAAAGAGCATTACAAATAGGAAACAGCATGTGTAAGAGTCAAGAAAGGGCCTGGAAGACATGTAGGCATATGGTGGGGGCTGGGGGGCAGAGATGGGCCTGGGGAAGTGGCTTTGACATTTGACCAGTCCAGGAGTCTGTCTCTGTACTGTTTTGAGACAATG